ACGCGATCTGGAGTAGGATCGCCGATACCGTTCTGGTTGTTGGGCGCAAAATCCCCAAGGTTCAGGCAGCGCGGACACCGAACTGGAACGATGCACAACGATCTTCGTTTCAGGAGCGAAGAGAAGGTAGAGAGCACACTTGTCCCCCTTCACGTGCAGCAATGGCTTCAAGGCACAAGACGAGACAGGGACGAGGGAGCGCCCGGGTTGAGGAGAGAGTGCCTCGAAGAGTGGGGACAGGACAGAAGGGAGAGAAAAGGGCAGTGAGGCCACTCTCTCCTTGAACCACTCGCGGCGTGAGCCAAAATGGCTCTCGACGAGGCGAGCAGCAGAAGCCCAACCCCCGCATGCGTACACGCACCTGCAAGTCCTGGCAGGGTTTTCAGTTTCCACCGTGGGGCATCGCCCCAGGTGGCTCGGCTATACTCAGGCCCCGGTCTCTCTCCTTCTTTCGTTCTTTCGCAAGGCATAAGGAGCATGCCATCGGTGCACGCCGTTTGTTGGCGGTATGCTTGGGCCGGTTCTCTTGTCGATGTTTCGCCCCGTCGGAGAGCTTCGGCAACCAACCGCACACACAGACACAGATGTATGTATGTATATATATATATACATACATACATGTATATATACATATACACACATACACATGCAACATTGTGGAACAAAAGTGTAGCTAGCCATAACTGCCCTTAGTCAGTTCCGCACCGTAATGGATGACAACCAACAGGTCGGGATCTACAGCATGGTCGGCTTCATGCGTGAGACTGACACAGAAGGTAGGAAGGCAGGCAGTCCTTGCCGTGTACACATGTACAAGTAGGCGCTAGCAGCTGCTAGCGATTGCTGGCCGTCACTCGAAGTCATCCCCGGAACCCGCTGTTTCGGAACCACCCCGGTGCCCAGCCCTTCTTCGTTTCTTGGCTCGAAACTGTCTCCATCTGGTTCTTGTGATGCTGCCTCCGTTCATCCACCGGCGGACGCCTGCAGGTCGCACCCCCAGTCAGGTTCATCGTAGTCCTGGGTCTCGTCCTCGCCGTGCAAGCTTTGGTGAGCCCTCGGTGGAGCACGGCTGCGTTCTTGTTCGTCTTGCTGGTTCCCCGCAGGTGGGGGTTGTACAAACTGGTAGTAGGCCTCGGTGTGGAGCACGAACTGGGTCATGTCAGGCTGCTTGCAGACGTCAATGGTTGGGTGGAGTCCTGTGGGCCCGTGGGCTTGTTGGGTCGCCCCACCCGCTGTCCGCGCATTCGGGCTCGTTTGCCGGCCTGTGTGCGGTTGTGTCACCGTCGGACTGCTCCCGAAAGATCGCTTCATAAGGCTCGGCGTGGGTCCCAACATTGAGGCCTGGCATTTCGTCCTGCCATCGGGCAGGGCTCTGGTTGGTGTCTGGTACTAGGCGCGAGCTGCTCCCTGGGAGGTGGTGCAGTATGGGGCTCCATTGGGTTCAGGTGCGGTCGTCCCCGCTGTTTCGGTTACGGTGCTGGCGGCCGCGCTGGGTATGGCTCTGGCTGCTCCGGCTTCCAGTGACGAGCGTCCCCCGAGTATGCTGCTTGGTCGGCACGGCTTCTTCGGAGGTTACTACATTACATTACATTACGTTACATATTTATATTTATATTTATATT